ACTACCATATGGTAGAAGTGCAGATGGAAAAAACAATGTTTGGACTGTGAGGAAGTCAAAAATCACATGTAAATGTACTGCTAATGGTATTTAGTAGTTATATGGTTCAAGAATCATATGTAGTGATAATCTGAGACTCTAGTAATGTGTGTTCTAAAGCTGGTGTCAGCTGACTGCTGCAAGCTGGCCGTGTGGTGTGCGCTCCTTTTTGAAGGGTCAGTCCCAGCTCGTAGGGCAGATGTTCTGAGGGCAACCCCTCTCTTCTACCCAGGAAAATCCCAGTCTTTATTTTGACCACAGGCAAGCAGGGTCTGCCTCATCTCATACAAAAAGCAGCACAGAGCACTAGCAGACCCCCTTCCCCTCATTTCTAATCATTTGGCGTGGCTGGTGCCAGAGGCCAGATACCAGACTTGGTGGGCCAATTCTGCTGCACAGTTCCTGTATCCCTGTGTAACACTGCTCTTTTTGTTTTATCTGCTCTCTGTCTGTCTCCTGTGCAGCCTGGTAGAGCTGGAGAAGGAAGTCAACAACATAAAGACCGGATTGAAAGCTGTTGAAGCTGTAAGTATCTGAAGGTTTCCAAAGCGCCATACTTATAATATCTCTCTCAGAATCAGGGGCACTATATATTTTATGATAAGAGAAAGTGGACTTTCTTTTTTCATGCCTTTCCATTCCATTCCAGAATGCATTAACCAAGGAAAAATAAATAAAAGCTTCTCATGTGGAGCTACTGCTGATGATTTTAGCAGAGTTAAGCTCAATGAAAAGCTTGTTTGATCTCAGCCTGGAAAGTAAAAGGACAGTTTGACAAATGACATGGACTGAAAGAAGAAATAAAATTCTTGCTCTTTCTTACTTGGGGACGGATGGCTGATGAGCAAGTGTTTCACATGACCTTTGAAATAATAGTAAGCAGGTAGTGCACTGTTAGATGCAACCCTAACCTCTATTCTGAGCACTCCTTGGGAAGGGAGAGGAAAAGACAGAGACTAGTTAAAGATGAAGCAGCTGAGCTGGTAAGCAAAGCAACAATAGTAGGGTTTTTTCATGCTATTACTGAAAGCCAGTTGTTGGGAATTGCACTGGGTGGTTTCTGTGCAAGGATTAGCTATCTACAAGGGACTAACACAGAACACTCCTGTCCTTCTCATTCACTGTGAGACAGACAGTAATGAGTTTATTTTCCTTTCACGTGACCTGAGTATGTTCTGTCTCTGTGTGTAGAGGAAGGGATCTTTGTCCTGTCAGTGGCCCCCAGGCTGTCTGGTTGTCCCAAGCAGTTCATCATGTAACTAGTCAGTGATCCTCCCATAAAAAAAAA